CCCCCCCCCCCCCCACACACACACAGACACACTTGTACTATAAAACCAGCATTAGCAATAGCTTATCCTGTACAAGTCATCAATAAACAGAAAATACTTATCACGTTCAGATAAAGGTACTAATCTTAATATGATGCTTCGCGGCAAACATAGCCCTAATGTGGATAGTTTGAACCGATCTGCAGAGTCTGTCTGGTGATTTTGAGCTTCTGTTCCCAGAAGACCCCATTCAAAGTTCTATGACTCGCTTTACATGTACAAGTGCCCCTACTAGTATATACTTTCATATTGGCCTAGCCAGAGCGTATCTTGACTATCTTTACACTTACCTGTATTTGGATACGTGCTGTATTTAAGTCGCACACACTACTGCATTGATCTGGAGTTATGCAAACTAAAATAAAACTAATTTTGGTGTGTGTGTGTGTGTGTGTGTGTGTGTCTGTTCTGATTTCTAGACGCCTCGTTAACGTGCCAAGTATGCGTCCTAGTGCGCAGTGAAGGTTGCGGTCCGAGAGATGAGTGGTATTTTTATCTACTGATAACATAATTTGAGGTCGCAAGTGGGAAAACTGGGTAATTGGTGGTGGTTGAAGGAGATGGAGGGGAGGGGAGGGGGGGGGGCAGGTCGTGAGGGTGCTTTGGAGTCACTGTTAAGGTTTATCCCAGTAATCCGTCGTCTTTGGTTTTGTGCTGAAACTAGTTCTCATTTTGTATTTTATTATTAAATAGCTCAAATTTGTTTCCAGGAGAATGTAAAATACAATATGTGTAGATTGGTAAGAATTAACGTTTGTTTGACTAGTACCGTAAATGTTCTTAAATTTAGTACAGTAATGTACTTAAATTTAGTATAGTAATACCGTAGGCCTATTGTTCTTAAGCTTAGTACGAAAGCGTTATTTAAATTGCCTTACCTTTATAACCGTAATTAACCTAAAGTTTTACTAATAATATTTAAAAATATTGTCACAACTGTATTACCGTAATTGGCCTTCAGTTCTGGACGAAATATTTTTGTAAACTCTACTTTGAAATTGCCTTTCTATTGTATTTTGTTTAACATTTCCTTTTAAAGTTTACCGCCACTATATCTCATCAAGACGTGTTGTATTGTATTGTCATGCTGTCTGATGACAAAAGTCAAAGATTAAAACAGGTTTATTCTTGGTATCGCATAAACACACTCTTTCAAACAAAATCTCACAAATATTCTCACACATCATTGTCTTGATGATCTGTACATGTAGCTCCTTCTTCATATGTACATTTGCAAATATTATACCTTTCTACTGAACTTCAAACATAAATGTACCTTAATTCGCAACAGTGGCAGATTTAGAGATGGGGTCAGAGGGGTTCTGATCCCACCCCTTCGATTTCTGGTCCCCTCTTGAAATTAGAATCCACCCCTGCGCGATGAGCAATATTAGCATATTACAGCCGAAGTGCGGATGCATGTACTATCACGCATATCTGGTAAATGCATTTGGTTGTGAGCAAGTGGCAATTCTCGGTACTCTTACTCTGTATTACAACACGTATCTCATTACGGCGGAGCATAAACCAACCGGTCTCTCACACGTCACTGTTTGGGGACGTGCCTCCTCTCTCTCTGCTTATGTCACTGCGCTTGTAGACCAACTTATTATCAGTGAAACTTGTCTCGGTTCTTCTGACTTTAGTGCCTTCCACAATGCCAGTCACATCAACCGTAAGTTAATATAATTTGTTTGAGTTAAATTAAGTGCACAGAACTGCGTTACTTATCAATGCGGGTCACACCACGTATGTGTTGTTTTGGCGTGAAGTTTTGATAAAATGGTTCGTTTTATTTTCCGTTTTATTTATGTCATGTATATTCATTTCCAACAAGTGGTACATGTAATCAAATGTCTATAGCGTGAGTAGTTAGAGATGGACGCCAGGGTTCTCTTTTACGTGAGGATTGTGTGAGGATTGTTTTTTTGTCTGTTTGTTTGTCTGTCTGTTTGTTTGTTCGTCTGTCTGTCTGTCTGTCTGTCTGTTTGTTTATTTGTCTGTCTGTCTGTTTGCTTGTTTGTCTGTCTGTCTGTATGTATGTATGTTTGTTTGTTTGTTTGTTTGTTTGTTTGTTTTTTATGGAGGGGTAACTATAGCTACCAATGCTTTTTTAAATTGTTTTCTTTTTTTAAAGTCTTATTAATTTTTTTCTTGTATATTTTTTATGACATCATTTTCTTTGTTTTTGAAAATGTTAGCTTGTCTGTTTTGATTTTCAGTCTGGTCTCATCCTGTAGGTAAAAGTAGGCCTGCACTGAAGTTTGATTCATAGTCGACTGTGATTATAGTCGATATAGGCAATTCCTCTTTTCAGACAAAGGCTCTCTAGCTACTATATATATATATACAGACTTGACATTTAATATGGAATATTTTTTTCCAAATCATTTTTCATCAGTTTTTTCCTATTTTGCTGACTGATAAATGAAAATAAGGTTTAAAATTGGGTTTTAATAACTTTTAATTATCCTTTTGATGTCATTGTGTCTTCAGTTAATTAATGGAATTCGCCAGAGAAGCAAACAAAAACACATTGCCTATTCTATGTCATACGACAACAATTAAAAGAGATATTTTGGATCTCCATATTTTCCAAATTATTTTCTGTAAAAGAGTTACACGCCTCACAAAGAACCCCCATGTCAGTGTCTAGTCACAGTAACGGTCGCTGTTACGCTTGACCTCTTCTGTCTGCTACCAGCGCTCTCAAGGGGCAAGGCATTCCTTGGGTTAGGTTTTTAGAGTTAAATCTGGAATAACATTCCAGGCATCGGTCAAAATCTGTCCTATTTGGTCCAGTTTTGTTGTAGGACATGTAGGCCATTGATTCGGCGAGTAATGGCCTACCCACATATTGTCTATGTGGTTCAAATGTGGCGATTTTGATTACCAAGGTAGCTGCTCATT